TTGGTCTTTTTTATTTTAATTATATATACATATTAAAATTATGTCAAGATTTCATCTTAATATTAAAGACACTTATCATGTCTTTGTCTTCTTTTAAGCTTGAACTTGTATTACAAATTTTTGTACCAAATGGGACCAATAAGCCGGCCTCCTCTCGTGTCTCGTCCAAGAAACCATAAGCCCATTTGGTTCAAGATAAAGCATAGTCCATATGGGGATTCCAAGTCATCCATAACAAAAGCTATAATACCCACATGTAGACAGACAGACACAACCCTACTTACCATTGATAGCAGTACATTAAGCCATATATGAGTCAAAATCAAGGCCATGATAATCATTATGCCAAGCAGTACGACTACAGCTCAATTGTCCAACACTACCCAATTGAAGATACTGATAGGCTCACCGCGTGAGAGGTAGAGGATGTACAGTGGCTCAGTGCAAACAACCATCATATCCTGATGATTAGAGACGTGATTCTCCGACTCCATAATCCTAGCCCTTGCTCTTCTATCAGAAAGATCAAGTGAAAGAAAAGAGACGTTGGTAAAGGAACTAGAGATCTTACAAAATTAGAGAGAAGCAAACGTAGCTAGATCAACCCAAATCAGGAGACGGACATACGAATCTTGACTGAAGAGAATTCGATTCGAGGTCGCATAAGAACGTGGCCGAACATTACAAATAGGAATGTTGACATAACTCCATTTACACGGCCTACAGAGCCCACGATCCCAAGCATCGAAACTAGCACCAACAAGATGTCGCCGATCAATAACAAGATCTTGTGCAGGGAACGCTGAAGACTCTGGGTGTTGGGTCAACGCTGAAGGTCATCGACAGTAAGGATGAAATCCTGGTAGTGTGCCTTGCAAACCTCCTCGATCTCAGATTCTTTGAAGTGAGCAAAGTGACGAAGGTGATGGAGTTTCATGACCCGAAGCGAAAACGCGATAGGTTGGGCTGTGATGCTGATGGGTTTTCGAATCTTGATTGTCCGACCCGTTTCTTGAAGGAGGAGTCTTGAAATGCTGATGAGTTAAGGTTTCTAAGTGGGCTGCAAATCTTGAAAAATTTGGTCCAATTCGTGATTTTTTCGCTACGCACTTCAACCGAACGAAAGGGGCTCTTGTTCATGCCCAAACAACCTAATGCTCGTGATGCCATGTTAATACTAGAAAGAATTGAATAAAAAGAAGAAAATGAACATTGATGAAGATGATGATTATCAAACATTACAGCAAAATATTCTTTCATTTGAAGGATATACGACAATGAATCATCTCTTAATCTAATGGTGATGTATAAACCCATCCAGACTAACATGAAGGATTACAATTATTTTTCCTAATAACTCACCACAATGATACATGGTCCTTTTATATAGATTTAGGGATACCAACTAACTAGGTGATTAATCACTAATCATAATAATATTCCAACAGATCTCTTCTCAATCTAAAGTAACACATGCTCTTTTCGGGTAAGATACTGAGATAAGAATACCTTTAATGGATGATAAAGATTAATATCTTTTGAAATGCAGAGGATATTTACTAAAAAAACAAAAAGAATCCATATCCTAATTAAATTTGTTTCCCACAAAATGACAGAATAAACCTTACAAACTTTTGTTTGTACAGTTAAACAATTGAGCAAAAAGACACGCACTTACATATACTTAATTAATAGTTTATGTGATAATTTACTTCCTTAATTGCCAGTTGGCAAGTGGCATCCTTAGGATTTAAGATTAAAATTGCCAATTTAATTGATTTACAATTAAGTCAAGGAGATTATTTTGACAAAAAAAAGTCAATGGATTACAACTCAGACTACCCATATAATCATTACACTGATTTTGTACTTTTCATTATCCCAACTTCTACGCCCATGCAACTTTTATATCACACTTCAAAAAATTTATATCTATTTAATTTTATGCTCAAAATTGACTTTAAGTGAAATTTTGAATTTATAAATCTTTCCATGTAATTTACATATCAACTTTATTTAATATGACACGTGCCATATCAACTCAATATCACTCTTTCTTAGACATCCCAACAATAACATGCATAAATTTATTCCAAATCTTAGATAACAATTCTCTCATGAACGGCCATTAAATTTATTTCATTGTTTTAGGAGTTTGTGTCCAGCTAATTTTTCATATCTGTATCATATTCTTTCAACTTCTCTTCCATTGACTTTTGGCAAGTTAACGAAGTAATTAAACCATATATAGGTTTCTCTCCTATATATTTCGCACAATGCAATCCCAAATTCAACTACAACAAATTCCACACTAAACACATCAATCATCTCGATCTATCATATCCAACAATGCCACGTTCGACCTCCATGAGAAGAGGTAAAGATGCTGCTCAAGAGAAGCACGACGTGTTCATCAGTTTCAGAGGAGAAGACACTCGCAAGACCTTCACAAGCCATCTCCACGCAGCTTTAACAAGGATCGGCATCAGAACCTACATAGACTACAATTTAGAGGGAGGGGATGATATATCAGCCACCCTCGTGAAGGCCATCGAGGATGCGAAGCTGTCTCTCATAGTTTTCTCAAAGAACTACCCAAATTCAAAGTGGTGTTTGGATGAGCTTGTAAAGATTCTCGAGTGTAGAAAAAAGAAAGGGTAGCTGATAGTGCCTGTTTTCTATGACGTGGATCCAAGCTCTGTACGTAAGCAGATGGGTAGTTATGCAGAAGCATTGGCAATACATGAACAGAACTTTAAGGGTAACATGGAGAAGGTCCAATCATGGAGGGAGGCTCTGACTGAAGCTTCTAGTTTTGCTGGCTGGGATTGCACCATCAACAGGTAATTTTGTTTTGTACAATATTCACAATATTTAAAGAGAAATCGAGCACTAGATTTAGAAGTATATATTTGGTAATAATTATATATGCAGGACGGAATATGAAATGGTGGAGGAAATAGCGAGGAATGTGTTGGAGAAAGCTGATGGGGTGTATGTTGGAGACTTTGCAGATAGAGAAGTTAGAGAAACTGGCAGAGCTTCAAGAAGAGTTCTCGCAAGAAATATACAGTTCGGAGAACGAAAGTAACCATAAAGCAACATTGGAACGCATCAGACGACTCAAAATGGAGAAGGAGTTCAGGAAGCTTCGCCTCACACCCGACTTGCTCTCCCACATGGAAATTTCAGAAGCCACTCATACTTATTTCTAGAAAGTTGAGGGGCGTGTTCTACAAGTATAATTTCCTTTGTTTGCAATAATTGTGATAAGGAACAATATTGATGGCCGTGGTCTGCATAATTTCCGTTGTTCTTGTCTTTTTCGTGTGCGCGCGTGTTTTGAACTTTGGATTGGCAATAAATTTGAACGGTTTAATTTGTATCGTACTTTGAACCAAATGAATTAATTATAACCTTTTTTTGTACTATTAACATTGTATAGTTATTGTTAAGTGATGTTAATAGCGACATAATCATATAACCAGCGAGGTTCAGTACAGTTGGCAGATAGCTGGTTGTCAGTGAAAAATCATGCAGTAATTGAAAAGTGGAAAATCTCCACCGTGTATTTTTATCTAATGATTAGTAAAAAATAGGTGTATAAGAAGGCTCCTCATTTGCAAACATACAGTCACATTTTATCCAAAATAAAAATTTATAAAAAATATAATATTTTTAATAAATATATTAATTCCTAATTTGGACATATAAATTTTATTTAGATGGTACACTTTAATATTAATTTTTTTTATAAATTGACTATTCATTCTAGATAGTTCAAATTTGTTTTTAATTCATATTTAAAAATTTTAGCTTATAACTTTTTTTAAAAAATATTTCTTGGAAAGTGATAGAAATATTATCTTTATTTTTAATATTATATTTATCAAAATAAAAATTTATAAGAATTATAAAAATTTTTAATATTAACTATGACCTGTCCGAATTAGTGATTAACATATTTATTAAAAGTATTATATTTTTTATAAATTTTTATTTTGGATAAAATTTGATTATGTGTGTGCAAATGAGGAGCATTTTTGTACATCTATTTCTTACCAGCTATTGAATAAAAATTCATGATGAAGATTTTTCACTTTTCAGTCACTGCACTGTTTCGATCCGTATCCGGTTCTCTTAAGCATATTGTGAGAGGTTCAATTCCTAGCCATATGAATAAAATAGACCTCATGGAGAGAAGCAAAGCTCGCTTATGTGATTTCTACACCTCAAAAGAAATTAGTGATTCATAATATATATACATATTTATTTATTTATATAGCGGCACAATCAACATAATATTCATGCAACTTGAAGTTGTAAACATAATAGGGAGAATAATGCAGACCGAACATGGAACACAAAAAATGACCTATTTTTTTTAAAAAAAAAAAAAACGCACATGGATGAAAATATCCTTACGCAATCGTTACATGGGCTTGATCAAACACATTGCCAAAAACCTCACAGCATTCAGTAAATGGATCCTTTTCGCTACTATACTTTCTTTCATAACTCGTAAGTTAACTTGGCTAGGAAAGGGGGGAAAACTCACTAAGTTAACCAAAAATATGGCTTAATTAGAAATATTTCCTTGATTCAACGCTCTTTCAGGCCCTAGTAGGAGTAATTAAGCCCAGGTCCCATCCAGCATCTTGTGAATTATGGGCCCTAACCATCGTAAATGCACATGTTTTCCAGGAAGTTTCCACACGTAGTCCTCTCTTGCACAATGCTTATATATCCTTTATCGCTGTGGTTGTTTCTTTAGGAGATTTTGCGAGGTGATTAATCAGATGAATCCGACGGACCATATCAATCAGGCACGTTCAGTCGTGCGATAGATTCAACAGCCGCAAAATCTTCAACTACTGAATTTAATTATAATGTGTCGGAATTGAAAAACATATATAAATAAAGAGTTTGCATAAACTTCGAAGAGTCCAAAATATGAAATGAAAATCAGCATCAGTCCAAATTATAAGTATATGGCCTATCTATTTTCCTCGCCTTGTCTTGTTATCTTTGTCAGATCTGCTTCCATGTTTTTTCTTCAGTTCTCACATTCTTCTCACAGTTCATGCTTTATGGAGAACGCTCGAGGGTTCATCAGCTCATCTGGTAAGTATTAATTAATCTTGTTCTTATGTCCTCTTTCTTCTTCCCTGCGAGATGAACCCGTCACGCATGACGTCATACTTTTCTAAGGAATATTCTGGAATCTTGTTTCCCCCGAAATTTCACTTTTCATTTTCCTGGAAATAGCCAGGAAATTATCCTTCTGCAGCCCAGCAAGCTGCCTATGAATTTTCCTCTTGGTCAACCCTCCTATCGAAACGCCCTCCAAACAAAACAATCTTGGAAAATGAACTGAACCTATTGTTAATTAGCAAGACTTGCCCACATGAAATCATCACCATCATCGGCCTCATCATCTTCATCTTCGTATGATTCCCTGTACTTCTCGGCCACACCTAGCCCTAGTACCAGAGAATACACTCATGGAGAAGAAGACGCTACCCTCATGGAACCACCATCACCTCCACCAGCACCGTCGTCATCTTCATCATCTTTTTCTTCCCAGCCCTCCTCCCTCGACCCTAGCTCTAGTACCAGATCAGAAAAAACTCATGACGGCGGGTTCATTATCTTCAGAGAAGAAGACATCCGGATGAAACCGTCGTCGTCGTCGTCGTCGTCAGCATCGGCATCATCTTGTTCATGTTCATCTTCCCAGCCTTCCTCCTCCAACCCTAGCCCTAGCATCGGAGAAAATACTCACGACGTGTTCATCAGCTTCAGAGGAGAAGACACCCGCCACGGTTTCGTCAGCCATCTCCATTCCGCTTTGAGAAGGAACGATGTCAGAACCTACATGGACTGCGATTTGGAGAGAGGGAACGAAATATCTTCCACGCTGTTAAGAGCAATAGAGCAATCCAAGATCTCACTCGTCGTCTTCTCCAAGAACTATGCCTCCTCAAGGTGGACTTTGGATGAACTGGTGAAGATAATGAAGTGCAGGAAAACATGGGGACAACTCGTGCTCCCCATTTTCTACAGAATCACTCCTTCAGAGGTAAGAAAGACAAGGAGTTTCTCAAATGTTTTTAATAAACACAAGAACCTGTTTAAGTCAAACATGAACGAGACAGCGCAACAGTGGACGAACGCCATGAAAGAAGCAGCCGATCTGGCTGGTTGGGAAAGCTCCACTTATAGGTACTTATCAAGTGGTTTCTCTTTCTTTCAAGTTGTTTCTAGAGTTTTTATGAAGATCTGATCATCTCTAAATTCAAATAAATGGTTTGGGTTTAAATCTTGTCTGAATAGAACGGAATCTGAGCTTGTGGAGGTTATAGCTATTGAGGTGATGAGAAAACTAGAATCTATGAGGCAGGGAAGTGAAGGAGCGGCCCAAATTTCAACCGAACCAGAAGCCGCCGGTCCTTCGTCGCAGAATTGCTCACCCGACGAGCCTAATTCCGGCGGCCTACATGATGATGAGCATACGCCTCTAGATTCTTCTCCCACCAAATGCCTATCACATGGGTAAGTTCATTTTCTTATTTTATTTTTTTAGTATATCAAGACTCGACGGTTAATGATTAAATCGGTTGGGATTATAGTCTGACTAATAGATAGCTAGCAAGTTTTCACTCTACATAAATGATCATGATCATTTTTGAAAAGAAAAACCAAGTCGATTAGAAGTACGTATAACATTGAGGTATGTAAAAGACTGAATATCTTAATTGAACAATTTTAGAAGTATCCGCTACTTGGACATTGATCACGATATATAATAGCACTACATCTATTCATGCATGATTTTGTTGTCGAATAATGTAATCATCACAGCAAACACAAAAATTCGATACAATCAAGGATGAAATCAATTTTATCATTACAAGTCATTTATATAACTAAAGGGTTGAAATAAAATATGTACTTCATTTGGTTTTTAATCTTAATCAAATGGTCTCGTGTCAATCTCTCTCGCTCTCTCTCTCTAACATCAGGGATTAGACGCTAGCTGGACAAGCTTTCAGCACAAGCCAAAAACAAAAAACAAGAAAAAAAAAAGAAATTGTAAGATATCATTGTATATTAATAATTAATTATGAAACCTAACACAATTAACATCTATTTATAAGAAGAGAATAAGCCAGTACTAAGAATGAGTTTAATGACGAATTAACAGGACTATTAATTTTCTGGGCTTTCTGGGGGTCAAGACATTGGAAGTTTTGTGGCGGAAGGACCACGAGAGGTTGATCCTGAGAGCCAGGAGACCTGATCAAACACCAAGCTTGGATACTTCCAGGTCCTATGTGTACAGGTAAGTTTCTAGTATTCATACTTCTTATATAAATACTACTTTAAAATAAGTATTAATATTCAGAGTAACTAGAAGATGCACTTGATATATTCACATTATATTAAATTTGAAATGATTCATATCATTTATTACTTATTACAAATAGTTTGGTTTTATATTGATTTTATATCATATATATGTTATTGATATTGATGAATATATGATGCACATAGGGTGCACAAATTATAAATGATTGTTCAAGGGTTTAACCAGTAGTTATTTAAGCTTTTGACCCTCGATATTTAATTTCGCGTCGGTTGCGTTGATTAGAAGATTCAGGCCTTTTGATTCTGGCTGGCAAGTTAGACTAAGAATTATTTGACTGGTTCAATGTTAATAAATCAACCCATTTAATTCCCAGGTCCTCTTCAATGCTTAAAATGGATGCGCAGTCTTCTCAGTTGTCAGAGTCACAGGGTGTCCTTTTGTTAAAAATATATTAATAGACAAAATTATCAGAGCCAAATCCCACTCTTTGTTTGAATCGAGGATTGGTGAATTTAATTACGTTTGAATTGGTCCACAAATTTTACAAAACAGTTACTTTCAAAATTGGTTAAGAATTATATAATCAAACGGATTATTTGCTCAACTGATGATATATGTCGCTTCTATAAAATAACCTCATTATATTCTAGTTAGCAATTGGGTGCCTAATTAAGGTGCATCTTTAATTGTGCGTGGGAAAGACTTCAAAAAACTTCAAAGACAAAAATTTCGAACGATAATTCACATAGACAAATAACAAGAGGAAAGAATCAATATGGCCCAAGAAAAAAAAAGGGAGAAGCAAAACTAAATTTAGGCACAAAAGTATTATCAATCATCTTTCTCAAGTCTGTTCACAGTATCCATAAAAAGGAGTTCAAAAGGGCTGACCTGTAAATAATTGGACAAATTTTTTACCATCATATAGAAAAGAATAAGTCCAATAATTCTCCATAATTAACCTGTAAATGATATAACTTTGTTATTAAATTTTAAATATTGTTGTGTTGAAATTGTTACATCAATATAAGGCTAGACTCAAGCCACCCATTTAAAATTGTGTGTGTGTGTGTGTATAAATAGATTAAAAAAAAGTAAAATTATATTATAGCAGTAGTAGTTCTTTAAGTTCATATATATTTCAGGGACCTAATGCATATCTGACAATGTCAACACAGGAACCGGTATGTACCCAAACAACAGCATACATGGTGGGGAATCCAGCAACAATAGGCACAAGCGCATACAACAGTAGCCTTGGTTTAATTTCCTCATCTTCTTCAATTGCTGAAAGCAACCTTCTATACCATTGACATGGCTCAGCTCAAGCCATTTCAATGATCTCAAATGCTGCGTTGCATATTCCAAGCATTCAGCAACCACCTCCAATGCTCTCCTCTTTCTCTATAGTCTATAGCAATCATGTCACTTGTGGCAATTTTGCTAGACTCAGCGCAGATAGTGCTTGATATAATGTTTGGAAGAATCAAGTTTTTCTGGAATTAATGTATTGTTTGATTAATTCCGACGTTAGAGTTGGCGATGAATATAATTTGATACTACCTTGAAACTGTTTATAGTAACGTCACTTGTACAGAAAAAGATATCTACATCGTTAAAAACTGGCTATCTAATTAATTTTACAACTGGCGTAGAAAGCTTGGTATAAAGATATGCACATATCTACACTAGTTATAATGTCATAACTGGTGTAGATATGTATCACCTCCCATTCAAAAAAAGTTTCCCATTTAAATAACAATATATTTAAATTACCTACTATCCAAAAAGTACCTATATATTCAAACAACATGGCAAGAACATAAATTTAAATATAAAAATATTGAGATAGCTATAAAGATTATCAAGCATACAAATAGTTTTCATTTACTGCAGTGTTCAAGGCATACACTAAACTAACAGAGGTTATCAATGCCATTACAAGACTTCTTTTTCCGTGAAACATGTCATTACAAGACATGGAGAAAGAAGATGTAAAACAGAGCTAATAATTTGAGGACTAAAATTTACCATGTTGAACGTCGCATGTATTGCTTCCAAGAGTCACTTCCAGCTTCACGACCACCACCAGTTGCCTTTTCTTAGCCAAAAGCACCACCAATTTCAAGTCTGTTTGTTGGGATGTTTACAATCACTATGCCGCAATCACTGCCCAGTGGCCTACATAGGCAACTAGAGCATCATAATCAATTGATCAACGTCAATTCAACATAGGATACATGTCTACCTATCAAGCATGATATCCATGAAAACATGTCCACATGTTTCATAACAACAGCATCAACTGAAACACCTGATGGCATCCTCTTATTAATTAGTGTCTACATAGAATTTAGAGTGCATTTAGAATTTAAGGTTCTGTTGCTCTGTTCATTCAATAATGTAACATCCTGAATGTTAATCTGAAACTAATTATTAATTAAGGATAAATTAATGGATTAAGTTAATTATGATTATAGGTGATGATGAATTGATATTTTGAGTTGTTAAATGATTGTACGATTAGGATCAAGTGAAAGAATTATGGTTTGAAGTGAAACATGTAAGCTAAAGTGAGAAATTCCTCACTGCGCTATGTGCCACAATATGTGTATAATGCGTTGCAGTGTATGAGTTAAAATTTTGACTTTAAATATGTGGTTAGCTCATGATTTTCAATGAAGATGAAGGTAAAACAAAGAGCACACAAGGAGAAGAGTTTACCTCTGCTAGGGCAAGAATTCTCAAGTAACTAAGAGATAGTTCTGACTTATTACTTGCCAGATAAGTTTTATATCTTCTTACTTTTCTATTCTACCCTAATTTTTCTTAGTTTTGGATATAGAAAAAGTGAATTGAGAAGTTTTAAGGAGTTATTTTTTGACTGTTTAGCTGTGAAAAGATTATTGGAAATTAAACTAAGAATTTGTGACTGGTTTGATGGTTAATGATTGAGCTTTGAAGTTATAGACTCAATTTAGCCTAAATTGAGAAACTTAAAAATTTGAAAATCCTATACAAATTATGTGAAATTAATAGAAGTTGTAGAAGGTTTTGTGGAGGGTGGTTTGGACTTAAGTTGCCTAATGAAAGAGATTGTAAGCCTAATTTAGTTTGATGGTGTTAGTAAGTGCTTAAGTTCAATTTGAAATTGACATATAATGCTTAATTGTATAGATTGGTGTGGCTCATGTGTTGATTTTGAGCAAGCTAAATGTCAAGCAAAAGTACCATAGGCAACCCTTTCTAGAAAAAAAGATTGAGATAGTTGAATAATTCATACTATCTATTAGCCTGTTTAACTATTTATAAGTAAACTTTGTAATATAATATATATTGTTGTAAAGTGGCGTGAAGTGAATTTGCATGTTTTTTGAAATTTAAGTAAGTTTTGAATTATAACTTGTGTTTACTAAAAGATATTATTGTAAAGATTAATTGTGAAAAGTATTACTAGGGTATAAAATAGAAATTGTAATATATCCACTTTGACATTATCAGAACACAGCAAATGAACATAAAACACTGTTATGTTAATCAAAATTAATTAATTCATTTCTTATGTGAGGTTATCATAACACAAGGGTAAAAAGAATAGTATAAAAGATTGGGATCCTACAAAATTATTTTTGAAAAGGAGTTTAAACTCAAACTATAGTTTAAAACAAGTTAAACAAAGTATCGAAAGTATAGAAATTGAAAGCTGTTGGTATTACAATATATATTTTAAAAGCTCATTGGTGCTCTCAGACATATCATAAATAAAACAACACATGGAAAGTTGAAAGAGGTGATAACACCAACAATTATGATGCAAGAATTAATCCCTCAAAGTTGAAACTCTCTAATCATAGGATGAAAAAAATTGCCTTGTTTGTCAACATTATATTAGAAAATAAAAAAGTAGGTTTTTAAGTAGTGACAAGAATTCCAAGATTTGACTTATCAAAACCCAATCCCACATCCAAAAAAAACAAACATTACCTAAAAAATTGCTGAAATTGTTCCAGAAAAGGGACAAGAAAATACACAGTTAACCACCAAAACACTGTGTAGGTAGATTTAGCAACTTTAAAACCAAATAGATTTGTAACAGAGTAAGCTCATATAATCACCGCCCAAAGAAAATATAGGGGAAGAACTGGTGAAAGACACACCTAGACGTTGGACCAAGAACGGTGTGAAGATTGAAGCTGGACTCATGTAAAAACAGTGTCGAGAAGCAAGGCTACACTTGAGATTTCAAATTGGATCAACACAATAGAGGAGTGGTGAAGGGATGAGGTAACAATACATTGAAGCTGAAAGGAGAGCGGGAGTGGCAAGTGGGAGACACAAGTGTCTAAGAAAGAAGGAAATAGAGAATGCGAGATGTTAGAGCAAAATAATTCTAAAGTTTAAAAAGCGTATCTACATTGGTTATAAGTCATATCTGATATAGATATGTTCAAAAATAAATTTTTAAAAAAATTAAAATATATAACCATCGATTATATTTAATAACTAATGTAGATATGTTAAAAATAATGTTTTAAAAAATTAGAATATATAACTACACCAATCATATATCATAACCTGTAAATATCAATATATTTACACCAATTATGCAAGGAATTAATGTAGAATAATCACAGCCACCTGTATATTCACAAAAATGTCATCACTTTCTATTCCTGCACCGTATGTGTATGAATTAGTGTAGATTTAGGTGTGTAACAAGACTATTTTATACTAGTGGGTAAATAGTTATCAGTGCTTGTGCATGCTGGTTTAGGTCTTGGTGTCTCTAGGTTTGTGGGCTAAATCTAATGCTTGTATATTTGAGAAATTTTGAGATTATAATGCAGCTAACTATGTTTTGATCAACATTTGCTTCATGGATATGTATTCTAAATGTGGGTCCTTATAAATTTTTGAATAGGTTTCTGAAAGTCTGAAACTATGTGTGAACACCGTATTTTGTCCAGATATTTTTTTAATTCAACAAAAAAAATAAAATTTTAATAATATAGATAAAATAAAAAGAAAAAATATTTAATTAATAAGGTTTAATTTTATTTTAGCCTAGATAATCTTTTGTAACGGCAGGCACCCTCAAAGCTCAATACTGACTAGCACTATTCTTTTCAAGTCCTGTAACGGCAGGCATCCTCAAAGCCCAGTACCGGCTAGCACTATTCTTTTAAAGCCCTATAACAACAGGCACTATTCTTTTAAAGCCCTATAATGGTAGGTATCCTCAAAGGCCAGTACCGATTGGCAATATTCTTTTAAAGCCTTATAAAGGCGGGCATCCACTAGGTCCTTTGGAACATTATTTTGCTTTGTTTATCTCCTAAATAAAATTTCATCTTCAAATTTAAACCATTTTTTGTAGTTACCTAAGAGTCTTACCCTTCCAAACAAGATACATGTTTCTTTCTTCATTCGTTTCTAAGATAAGAATATCATCTCATGATATTCTCACTTAGAAATCAAATGAAGAGGGGCATCTAATCAATATATATTTTGTTTAGATCTTTATTTTGTTTGCAACATCCTTCTTGTTATTTGGTCATTTTCATTTGCATCACATTGCTAAAACTAAAAAAAAATCATTTCATTGTGTTTGTTATCCAATAGTCTTGCATTTTGTTTAGATCTTTATTAATTGTTTGCAACATCCTTCTGTGTTATTTGGTCATTTCCATTTGCATATCATTGCTAAAACAAAAAAAAAAATTATTTCATTATGTTTATCATCCAATAGTCTTGCATTTTGTTTGAATCTTTGTCAATTGTTTGCAACATCCTTCTATATTATTTGGTCATTTTCATTTGCATAACATTGCTAAAACAAAGAAAAATCCACTACTAGAAAAATGAAATTTAACGAGGGACAAATCTCTCGCTAAATGTTATTTTTTCTAGCTAAATTGCATTTTAACCAAAGATTTTGTCCCTCGCTAAATTCGTAGCCAAAAAAAGGCTCGCTAAATTTAGCGAGGGATCGTATTTTCCTTGCTAATTAGCAAATGGATTTAATGAGAGATTCAATCTCTAGCTAATCCCTCACTAGTACTATTCAAAATTTAACAATTTAGCAAGGGATTAGTCACTCGTTAATTCTTCGCTAAATATACCTATATTTAAAAATAGTGATGCCACATCACCCATCACATGTGGGTCAACTTGTAACATGTCACCAACAATCTTATGTCTCGTCAACCGCCATGTTATCTACCATCTCGTGCCCCATTACTCGTTACATGTATGACAACTCATGACATGTTATTGTTTACCTTGTGCCATGTTACTTGCTTCTTACTATATTGTATATTCATTATGTTTATGCCAAAGTCAAGACGTAAACCCTTGACCTCATTACCTTCCAAGCCTTATACTCTCATTTTTTATTAGTTGAATTGAAAGTCACTTGTAGTCATTATATAAAAAATTAAATATATATTATTTAACTACATAAATATATCAAATAATATATTATAAAAATACACACATATATACATATTAAATTTTATTTTTAATTATTAATATGTTAAAAATATTTATATTTTATTTAAATTATTTGTTATATTATATTTTT